AGGGTTTCTGTTGAGGCAGGTGATTAGCTGTGGGAGGAGCTTATCAGAGATTGCAGGGCAGCAGTTGAAGAAGGAGCAAAGGGTTTTCTTGTGTGTGTGTGTTTCTTTGTGGCTGATTGGCTGCTCTCCCTGTGCAAAGGTCAGAGGGGCAGGGTTTCTGTTGAGGCAGGTGATTAGCTGTGGGAGGAGCTTATCAGAGATTGCAGGGCAGCAGTTGAAGAAGGAGCAAAAGGGTTTTCTTGTGTGTGTGTGTTTCTTTGTGGCTGATTGGCTGCTCTCCCTGAGCAAAGGTCAGAGGGGCAGGGTTTCTGTTGAGGCAGGTGATTAGCTGTGGGAGGAGCTTATAAGACAATTCAGGGCACCAGTAGAAGAAGTAGCAAAAGGGTTTTTCTTGTGTGTGTGTGTTTCTTTGTGGCTGATTGGCTGCTCTCCCTGTGCAAAGGTCAGAGGGGCAGGGTTTCTGTTGAGGCAGGTGATTAGCTGTGGGAGGAGATTATCAGAGATTGCAGGGCAGCAGTTGATGAAGGAGCAAAAAGGTTTTCTTGTGTGTGTGTGTTTCTTTGTGGCTGATTGGCTGCTCTCCCTGTGCAAAGGTCAGAAGGGGCAGGGTTTCTGTTGAGGCAGGTGATTAGCTGTGGGAGGAGCTTATCAGAGATTGCAGGGCAGCGGCGCGCGCCTAGCGCGCGCGCGCAGTTTGATCCATCTTTTAGATTTAGGGAGCTAGTCTCAAACGTTTGTTGGGGAAGACCTAGGTTTTTGTGGGGGAGTTATTTTTCCTGTCTTCACGCTTTTTATGATGGAGGACCACTGTAGCCACCCCCAACGACACGTTCTCAAGATGGAGGGAGGGAACAGCTGCAGTCGCCTGCGGTTCCTGCGCAATGCTTGCCATCTTGCCAAAGGTTGCAGGCAGCTTTACCTGCAGCAATTGCATGTTGATTGCCCTCTTAAAAGACAAAGTCCAGCAACTGGAGGAACGTGTAGCTACGCTCCAAAGAATTAGAGAGCTGGAGCTCTTCTTGGAAGCAACAGAGCACACCGTCTCCACCAAGGAGGAGACAGGGGACTCCCCTGAGAAGGACGCTAGTTCACCAACACAGGAGCCAGATATATGGAGAAACGTGACTCAAAGAAGTAGGAGGCCCAGGGTTCGCTCTGATTGTTTAGAAATACACAATCGCTTTGAGGTCCTCTCCCCTAGCATGGAAGACGAAGAGCAGACTCCATTTGAGGATCTCTCCCTCATTACAGTCGATCAGGTATATGAAGACGAGCAGCAAAGTCAGTCCTCAGGGAATGTGCAGGCGACCTTGGAGCGGACAGCTCACGGAAGAACCCCGGCCAAACCTAAGAGGAGGCGTGTAGTGGTGATAGGGGATTCCCTACTGAGGGAACAGAAGCAGTGATCTGTGGGCCTGACAAGATGTCTCGGGAAGTGTGCTGTCTCCCGGGGCTAAGATCCAAGATGTAACTGAACGACTGCAAGGAATCATAAAACCCACTGACAAATACCCCTTCCTCTTGGTTCATGTGGGAACCAATGACACTGCAAGCAATAGCCTCCAGAAGATCAAAAGAGACTACGAGGCTCTGGGCAGGAAATTGAAGCAATTAAATGCACAAATTGTGATCTCATCTGTCCTCCCAGTTGAGCAGCGTGGCCCAGGGAGAGAGGGAAAATAGTGGAAGTGAACAGCTGGCTTCGCAAATGGTGTAAACAGGAACGGTTTGGATTCTTAGATCACGGACTGCAGTTTCTTGAAGATGGACTTCTGGCAAGCGATGGGCTGCACCTCACAACGGTTGGGAGAAATGTTTTTGCCAAAAATCTCAGAAACCTCATCAGGAGGGCTTTAAACTGACTAATGTGGGGGAGGGAGATAGTGCTCCTGAAGGTAGGAGTCTATCAATTGATGAAGATGATCATCCAAATGTCATAGACCAAATGGAGCAAACAGCACACAGACCTAGTGGTGGGAGGAAAAAATCCTTAAATAAGAGTCACGGGGAATGATTAATGGACTTCAATGTCTGTACACTAATGCGCAAAGCATGGGAAATAAACAAGATGAGCTTGAGCTCTTGGTACAGCAAACTAAATATGACATAATAGGCATCACTGAAACCTGGTGGGATAAGTCCCACGATTGGAATGTAATAATGGGGGATACAATCTATTTCAGAGAAACAGACCAGACAAGAAAGGAGGAGGAGTGGCGTTATATGTCAGGGATGTGTATACCTGTGAAGAGATCCAAGATTTAGAACCTCAAAGCCAAAGTGAGAGCATTTGGGTCAAAATTAAGGGAGAGAAGAATAACAGTGACCTCATTGTGGGAGTTTACTATAGATCCCCAAGCCAAACGGAGGACATAGATGATGCCTTCCTGGAACAGATGGCCAAGCATGCAAAAGGAAGGGAGATAGTAGTAATGGGGGACTTCAATTACCCGGATATTTGTTGGATGTCAAACTCAGCCAAGAGCATAAGGTCAAACAGATTCCTCACTGGCCTTGCAGACAACTTCATTGTCCAGAAAGTGGGAGAAGCAACAAGAGGAACAGCCATTTTAGATCTGGTCCTAACCAATGTTGATGACCTGGTTAGTGGGGTAGAAGTGGAAGGATCATTAGGCGCAAGTGATCATGCTCTTCTGAAGTTTACTATACAGCGGAAAGGAGCAGCCAAGCATACTAGGACTCAATTTCTTGACTTTAAGAAAGCTGACTTCATAAAACTTAGGGAAGTGCTGGGTGAGATCCCATGGACAGTAATACTAAAAGGAAAGGGAGTTCATGATGGCTGGGAGTTTGTTAAGAGGGAGATACTAAAAGCACAACGTCAGGCAATACCAATGAGACGGAAACATGGAAGGTGCCTAAAGAAGCCAGGGTGGCTATCTAAAGAACTTTTAACTGAGTTAAGATTAAAAAGGATGTGTACAAAAAATGGAAAAGGGGAAACCACCAAAGAGGAATTCAAACAAATAGCCAGCACGTGTAGACACAAAGTCAGAAAAGCTAAAGCACAGAATGAACTCAGGCTTGCTAGAGAGGTTAAAAGCAACAAAAAAGGCTTTTATGGGTATGTCCGTAGCAAAAGGAAGAACAAAGAAACAGTGGGGTCACTCAGAGGAGAAGATGGTGAAATGCAAACAGGGGACACAGAAAGAGCTGAACTCCTCAATGCCTTCTTTGCCTCAGTCTTCTCCGATAAAGAAAACAATGCCCGACCTGAAGAATTTGGAGCAAATGATTCAGCAAAGGAAACACAGCCCAGAATAACTAAGGAGATAGTACAAGAATACTTGGCTAGTTTAGATGTATTCAAGTCTCCAGGGCCAGATGAACTGCATCCAAGAGTATTAAAAGAACTGGCAGATGTGATCTCAGAACCACTGGCAGTCATCTTTGAGAATTCCTGGAGAACAGGCGAAGTCCCGGCAGACTGGAGGAGGGCAAATGTTGTCCCTATTTTCAAAAAGGGGAAAAGAGAGGACCCAAATAATTACCGCCCAGTCAGTCTGACATCAATACCAGGGAAGATTCTGGAGCAGATCATTAAGCAAACAGTCTGTGAGCACCTAGAAAGGAATGCTGTGATCACCAATAGTCAGCATGGATTTCTGAAAAATAAGTCATGTCAGACTAACCTGATCTCGTTTTTGACAGAATTACAAGCCTGGTGGATGAAGGGAACGCAGTGGATGTAGCCTACCTTGATTTCAGCAAGGCATTTGACAAGGTGCCTCATGATATTCTTGTAAAGAAGCTGGTAAAATGTGGTCTTGACTATGCTACCACTCAGTGGATTTGTAACTGGCTGACTGACCGAACCCAAAGGGTGCTCATCAATGGTTCCTCTTCATCCTGGAGAAGAGTGACTAGTGGGGTGCCACAGGGTTCTGTCTTGGGCCCGGTCTTATTCAACATCTTTATCAACGACTTGGATGATGGACTCAAGGGCATCCTGATCAAATTTGCAGATGACACCAAATTGGGAGGGGTGGCTAACACCCCAGAGGACAGGATCACACTTCAAAACGACCTTGACAGATTAGAGAACTGGGCCAAAACAAACAAGATGAATTTTAACAGGGAGAAATGTAAAGTATTGCACTTGGGCAAAAAAAATGAGAGGCACAAATACAAGATGGGGGACACCTGGCTTGAGAGCAGTACATGTGAAAAGGATCTAGGAGTCTTGGTTGACCACAAACTTGACATGAGCCAACAGTGTGACGCGGCAGCTAAAAAAGCCAATGCAATTCTGGGCTGCATCAATAGGAGTATAGCATCTAGATCAAGGGAAGTAATAGTGCCACTGTATTCTGCTCTGGTCAGACCTCACCTGGAGTACTGTGTCCAGTTCTGGGCACCACAGTTCAAGAAGGACATTGACAAACTGGAACGTGTCCAGAGGAGGGCAACCAAAATGGTCAAAGGCCTGGAAACGATGCCTTATGAGGAACGGCTAAGAGAGCTGGGCATGTTTAGCCTGGAGAAGAGGAGGTTAAGGGGTGATATGATAGCCATGTTCAAATATATAAAGGATGTCACATAGAGGAGGGAGAAAGGTTGTTTTCTGCTGCTCCAGAGAAGCGGACACGGAGCAATGGATCCAAACTACAAGAAAGAAGATTCCACCTAAACATTAGGAAGAACTTCCTGACAGTAAGAGCTGTTCGACAGTGGAATTTGCTGCCAAGGAGTGTGGTGGAGTCTCCTTCTTTGGAGGTCTTTAAGCAGAGGCTTGACAACCATATGTCAGGAGTGCTCTGATGGTGTTTCCTGCTTGGCAGGGGGTTGGACTCGATGGCCCTTGTGGTCTCTTCCAACTCTATGATTCTATGATTCTATGATTCTATGATTCTAGGTGTCTTGCCTCCAATGCTTCAATAACAGTGGCCACTGTTACTGAGTGATAATGTGTGCGATGCTTCTTAAACACTCCAAAGTGCTGCCGTATAAACGGTGGTCTTTGGGTGGTGGTCGTCTTTTGCCTAACATGAGGCTCAAACTCAAGACCCTGTGATTGAGAGTCTCATGCTCTACCGATGAAGCTATCCCAGAATTCCCAGGCCCCCTTTCTCCCCAGATTTAGCTCACCCGCAAGATGTACATTTAAGGCACTCTTATTATACCACTTTCAAAGTCATGGGGAATCCTGGGAACTGTGGCTTGTTCAGGGGGCTGGAAGTTGCAGCTAGGCGAGGTCATCAGCGCCCTTAACCAAGCACATTTCCCAGGATCCTTTGAGGGAAGCCATGACTGTTTACAAAAGGGACGCGGGTGGCGCTGTGGGTTAAACCACAGAGCCTAGGAATTGCCAATTAGAAGGTCGGCGGTTTGAATCCCCACGACGGGGTGAGCTCCCGTTGCTTGGTCCCTGCTCCTGCCAACCTAGCAGTTCGAAAGCACGTCACAGTGCAAGTAGATAAATAGGTACTGCTCTGGCGGGAAGGTAAACGGCGTTTCCCTGCACTGCTGTGGTTCGCCAGAAGCGGCTTAGTCATGCTGGCCACATGACCCGGAAGCTGTACTCCGGCTCCCTCAGCCAATAAAGCGAGATGAGCACCGCAACCCCAGAGTCAGCCACGACTAGACCTAATGGTCAGGGGTCCCTTTACCTTTTATGAATGTTTACAGTTATGTGAGAGCACTCAGAATGTGACCCTAATGGTTTTTCTTTACGACGGCTTTTTGGAGCATAAGTTGTTGCAGTCAAAGAATGGGGGGGAGGCGGGTTAATGTAAACACCGTACGACCATGCAGCAGAGCCTGTGCTTTGTATACTCTAGATTCCTACGTTCAGTCTCGGGTACCTGTAGTTAGAAAGAACCTGGCAGCAGGTGATGTGAAGAGCCCTACTCTCTTCCTGAGAGACCCCAGGGAGCAACTGCCAGTCAAAGTCCTCAGACCTGGACTAAATGAACAAGCAAGCTGACCTGGTTTATAAGGCAGAATTTGGTGTTCGCCTGCAGCGTGGAAGAACAGCAAAGGCTTGTATGTATGTATGTTTGCTTGTTTGTTTGTTAAAAAGTAGGCTTCAGAGAATTCCCAGCTCCCCACTACAAGCAAATTGCCCCTGAGACGCACAGTCGAAGAATTCCTAGCGTAAACAGTATCTTGGATGATGAGCAGCTTGGGCATAATTAGTAAGCGAGACGCAGGACAATATCAGAAGTCTATCAGTCAGCAGTGTGAGAGCCTTTCGTTCAGCTGCCTGCCGCTGATGGCGCCAAATGAGACTTGGGAGATTAGGAGGAAACCCTGAATGTCAGGATTAAGCATTTGGAAATGTATTTGATCAAAGGTGAGAATTAATGATGCAGCTAGGCTCAAAACTCTCGCGCTGCTTTTTCTGTGCAGCAAATCAAACGCGGAGCAGCAGCCCCTTCTCCCACCAGACCCTAGGAAGGATCCCACATGACATTTATCTGTAATTATAGGGTGCCCAAAATAGGGGGGAAAGGTAGCTGAGAAACACAAAAGCATTTATGAATTAAGATAATTACTGGGGGGTTATTATGTAGATCCCAGAATAGAGAGGATCCTTATTGGGCAATTTCCCCATAAACAGTTACTGCAGCTTAACTGCAGAGATTCGCCACTTCCGCACATGCGTGTGATGTCATTTTGAGTATCTGCGCATGCGTGAGCGGCGAAACCCGGAAGTAACGTGTTCCAGTACTTCCGGGTTGCCATGGAGCGTAACCTGAAAACACTCAACCTGAAGCTACTTCAATCCGAGGTATGACTGTACAGTGGTACCTCTGGTTACGTACTAAATTTGTTCCGGAGGTCCGTTCTTAACCTGAAACTGTTCTTAACCTGAAGCACCACTTTAGCTAATGGGGCCTCCCGCTGCCACCGCACCGCCGGAGCACAATTTCTGTTCTCATCCTGAAGCAAAGTTCTTAGCCCAAGGTACTATTTCTGGGTTAGCGGAGTCTGTAACCTGAAGCATTTGTAATCTGAAGCGTATGTAACCTGAGGTACCACTGTACTTACTTCAGGGGCAGACTTCAGGCTTGCAGGATCTGCTTTGTGTTTTACTAGATCCCTGAGCTCCACCAGCTGGGGCCAGGTGTAAAAGATATAGAGTTAAAGACCATGGTGCCTTTGAGCAGAGGCTGACGACAGGGATTTGTGTCTTGTGCAGCAGAGCTGAGCGGAGTTCACAATCCTTCCACATGAAAATCCATTCCAGGTTACACAAAGTTTTCTTCATTTCAGCAGTTTAATTCATTTATTTATTGGCAGGGGAGAGAGTCATTCCATCATTGCCAATGTATATATAGTTATTTGCTTGGTTGTTTATTTAAAGCGTTATTTAAAGAGTTATCCCACTCTTCAGCCAAAAAGCAGCTCCCAGAGTGGCTTACAAATGTCAGTGATAAGGGAGTCCTTGTCCTCAGGCTCACAGTCTAAAAGACACAACACAAAAGGGAGAAGAAGAAAAAGAATGGATGGGAGGAAGGAGGGGGAACGCAAACTCAGGCGCTGTTCCTTGGTTTTAACTGTCAGAGACAAACATGTTTGCCGATCTGCTGCAAGCAACCTGGAAATCTACCAGTAGATTCTGATCTCCTTTCTGCCCACACTTGACTTGATTCATATAGCAGCGCATCATTATGGCACCACACCTATCCAAATCATAGAAATAACCTCTGCAGAGGTAACTAAGAGTGCATACAAATGTCTATAATTTGAACAGTGAGCCCACTGTGGAAGCACAAGCACGGAGCTTAGTTCAGTGTCGTAACATCATCATGATTTTGCATCGCACCAGAATGAAGCTAACCGTGTGCAGCACAGACTGGCTGGAACCAGTGATGTCACTAACCCAATTTCCTCCACCCTCTCCATAATAATCCCACCACACACACACACACACTTTATAAATCATGCAGAAAGTGCCAGGTTCAATCCCTAGAATTCTGAGCTGGGAGGACCAATGGTTCTTCTGGCCCTACATTATGTAGCTTATTTGGTTTGTTTAAAGGAGAAGCGAGTGTACATGTAAACGAACAAGACACTTTCACAGTTAACAAAAAGTAAGCAACCTATTTTCCATTAGACGGGAGGAATAAGCCTGAATTAGTGCTCGGATTGGTAGCAAGGATTGCTGTCCTTTCCAAACACAGTTCAGAAGAAAATCAGGCTTACTCCAGGGACAGAAAAACCACACCAAGTATCTTTTCTAAGATATGTTGGCAGTATGGAATTCTATAAAAAGTAGATTGTTTTGATCGTGGATGCACAGCCTCCTAGTGGTTTAAAGAAAGGCCAGTTCAGACAACCCATTTGTGACTTTACATTTGTTCTGCGCTGAGTTGTTTCGGCAGTTCAAACTGACGGCGGCTTTATCCGAAGCAGGAGTTGCTTCCTTGTGTGGAATTATGTAGATTCTGTTTGTAGTCTGACATGTGGCACAAATCCATGCATTTGTTTTACCTTCTGCACATGCAGTGGGGATCCACTGTCAATCATGGCTTCCTGTACATGTTGAAATAGCTCCATGTGCAGTCAGTACACATCATGACTAATGACAATTTCTGCAGTTTCAAGTATCTGTTTCTTCTGCAACAGCCCTGAATTTGTGCACGGCAACGCAATCATCTGAGCCCTCCATGTTGTGCCTGGGTCTCAATTTCTTATGCCATCCTACCCCATCTTTTAGGAAGCACTCAGGACCACTTTACCGTGTGCAAATTCAGTCTGGGTTGGTAGGAAAAATCAGCGTGTTTGAATATAAATGGGTTGTCTGCCTAGGCCTAAAAGAGAGTTTGCTGTATACGTTTCCGTCGTCAAGTACTCCAATTCTCTTTATGTAGATTCATGAAATCGAGAAAGATCAAAGTCTGCTGTGAAGATTCATTTCAGCTGTAGATATGCAACCTTTAAGTGTACCAAAATGTTTATGAAACAGAGCTAAGTGAGGTAGTTAAAGAGATAAGCCAATGGTATCTTTCTGTATCTGTTAAGTAACCTGATACACGCTAAGCTTAATTCTAGCGTTTTTGATGTCACCTTTCAAAAGACTATTGAGCAGAGGTCAATTGAAAAGGCCGGCCTTGATGTGATTTCCCGATACTTAATGTCACACATTTATGAAATGCCCAGCTGATTCAACAGATGCTTATTTGTATCAATTAATACTTATCCATTTTATTTTTCCATTGAAATCCGGAAAGATTTTACTGATGACTTGAAGATAAAAGTTTCCCCCTTGTTGTCTAACAATACATGAATAGCAATCCTCTTTAAAGGACGTAACGAGTGATGTCACCTATGTGCCAGGCTGTGTACATGCGCACCATACGCTGAAAGCACATTTCAAGCTTTTGACTCTCCCTACTGAATCCTGGCAACTGTAGTTTGTTAAGAGTGCTGAGAATCGAAGCTCTGCAAGGGGTAAACTACAGTTGCCAGGATTCTTTTAGGGGAAGCCATGTGTTTTAAATGTATAGTGTGTATGCAGGGGCAGTCCTAGCCAAAGCATCAACTAATAGGTCACAAAACTGCATTCTAGATGCGGAAAGCAAGCTAGGGATATGGAATTTTGACTGCCCCTTCTTCCTGCAACAAAAACTGTCCTGCTTTAGGAGTGCTATCCAAGAACATTGGTGCAAGCTAGAGTCGATGTTTGCTATCGCTGCATAGGAAGTGAAAAATCACTTGCAGAGCTGGAACAAATAGATGATTGATTCCCCAATCTTGGGGGATCCCAGATCTGAAAGCATACACCTCTCACTTATTTTATTATTATTAACGCTTGTATTTTCATATGTTCCAGTAAAAACTCAACCTCAAAGAACCAGAGGGACTCATAAATACAGTGGTACCTCGGGTTACATATGCTTCAGGTTACATAGGCTTCAGGTTACAGACTTTTCTAACCCAGAAATAGTACCTCGGGTTAAGAACTTTGCTTCAGGATGAGAACAGAAATCGTGCTCCAGCGGCGCAGCCGCAGCAGGAGGCCCCATTAGCTAAAGTGGTGCTTCAGGTTAAGAACAGTTTCAGGTTAAGAACGGACCTCCAGAACGAATTAAGTACGTAACCCAAGGTACCACTGTGGGGGAAATGGTGGGAACACCATATTTATTGGATACGGTTTAGGAAATCAGAGAGCTCTCAGGCATGCACACACTCTGTAGGGATGCAGTGACTGAGAACAGGTGTTCTGAATAGGTAGATGGCTAATTTAGTAAGGACAGAGCAATGGAAGGAGCGGGCCTGTTGGCATCAGCTGCATCCTGTTGCTCCATGCGGATGCAGAGCTCTTCACCACCACTGCATTTTCCCCAAAATGCTATCTTCTCTCTTGTATTCCCCCGCCCCAGCTCTGGGGGGTGGGGATCTCAGTTCCTCAAACCTCCTCTCACATTCTTTACTCTCTTGACCACAGGCTGTCAGCAGACAGTCAGAGGAACATTAGACCTGTCACACCACAGGCTGGGTATGTGTTTAATTTCTAGGTTGGACGGGTGCTGTCGCTCCGATGCAATGAGGGATCTTGGGCTTGAGCATGTGTCTTTGGCTAGCTTTGTTTTGTGGTGTTGAAATAAGCAAGCTCTGCGACAAAGCCTGTTGCGTCTCTCCTGGTAGCAGAGTGTTCTTTCCAAAGCTAAACATCCATTCCAACAAGGCATTCTGTTCAGTGTGTTACGGTAAAATCTGGGTGCGAGGCTGCTCTGCCACCCAGCTCGTCGGACTAAGTCCGCGGGTCCCTGCGGAGCAAAATGAGCTCAGCCGGAGACAGGAGCAAGCTGCAGAAGATCCAAGTTTATTGCGCAACAGGTTCAAGGTGAGATTGAACAGCGAGGAAGATGTGACATGAACTTTTGAAACTTCCTCCATGTCCCAGAATACAGTGCAAAATACATCCCAGTTACATCATGAATACATCAAGAAGAGGTTGGGTTACACAGGATTAACATATGGAGGAGGGAGGGGGAATATGCAGAGCTGGAGATATGCGCAGATAAGCACATCCTGAGTACCGGTGATGCGAAGACAATGGTCCATGTATGCATAGTCTGCCACCTGGCATTGCCCGGAGGAAAGGCTTGGCAGAGTGATTTGACAGGATTAGGGTCTTGACACCTTGCTTGAGGGATTATGGAGGACAGGGGAGGTGTCATGGAGTCCTAGAGAAATTGAGCAAATTGGCACGTTGATTTTCTATGAATTTTATAGATTTTAGTCCCTTTTGACATTGACAATTGGAAATAAATGGATATATTGTAGCGAAGAAGAAGGTGAAGAAGACATGCCCCCCCCTTCCGTATCAAGTGCCATGACTTCCGCCTGCAATACGGGACTTCTTCTCCTCTCTCTATACAACGCCTGCCACCTCAGATCTGCTCCAGAGGTATAGGACTTGGATCAGATTGGGGCAAGGATGTGGAGAGAGGTAGTGCCACGACACAGGGGGGAATCCTTGCACTCATAGGATGACTTTGTTGGATACAATCCAACCCACCAAGTTCATACTCAGAAGCTTGACCGGGGTGGGGTATTAAAGGCCTCTTACAGAGGATGAGCATGCATGAATACATGTCATCACTCAATAGATAGTAAGAATACATGAGTCAATAGATAGTAAGAATACGTCCGACGTACCCAAACAGCAAAACAAATGTCGCTTCCGTGAGTGAAAGGTCCAGCTCTCTGGACCAACTTTTCATGAGCCTACAGAAAGGAGGAATAATCAAAGATTACCTTTTCTCTCTCTTTTTTTCAGCAGGAGAGTTTTTAAGGGTGCTGTGAATCGAAGCTCTGCAAGGGGTAAACTACTGTGGCCATGAACAGTCCACTCCAGAGGATCTTTTTTGGATCCATTTGTTGATCAAACAGCACTCTTCATTTTCTAGCCAAGGAATCACCACAACGGGTGGCTGTCAGGTCCATATGGCCACTAGAAATAATATGTGACGCACACAGCAACTTGCTTGCAAGACCAGTGTGGCACAGTGGTTAGAGCAGGGGTCAGCAACCTTTTTCAGCCATTGGCCGGTCCACCATCCCTCAGACCATGTGGTGGGCTGGACTATATGGGGGGGGGGATGAATGAATTCCTATGCCCCACAAATAACCCAGAGATGCATTTTAAATAAAAGGACGCATTCTACTCATGTAAAAACACGCTGATTCCCGGACCGTCCATGGACCGGATTGAGAAGGCAGTTTGGGCTACATCCGGCCCACGGGCCTTAGGGTGCCTACCCCTGGGTTAGAGTGTCACGCTGGGACCTGGAAGACCAGGGTTAAAATCCCCACTTGGCCATGAGAATGGCCTAGGGTAAGTCACTCACTCTCAGCCCAACCTACCTCGAAAGTTTGTTATGAAGAGAAAAGGAAGGTGAGGGAGAACCAAGTACTGAACCACCTTGAGCTCCATGGAGAAAAATATGGGCTAAAAATGCAATAAAGAAATAATGAATTAATAACACAATCCCGTGTATTAGGCTGAAGAAGCTTGGAGCGCACAATTCCTGGAGAAGCACAGCCTCTTGATTAAGCAACCACAAATAAAAGTTTCACAGGCATCTAGATAAGGAAATGCAACCCATGCGTGAGATCACACTGTGCTACAGCTTAGTAAACAGATTACTAATGAACTGAACCAAAGGTTTCACAATACTGTTAGCAACAACATACATTGAATCTGAGACACACATTTTTTTTTAATAGCAGTTTTACCTTTTGCATTCTGAGGGTTGATTTTGGGCATCGTTCTCCCAGGTGTGGAACCATTTCATCCTAATTGCTTGCCTTGCTTTAAGACAACCCCATGTCCCGTTTCCCCCTTCATGGATCTACAGCCATGCACAATTCCAGAAAGTAACCCCTGGATGTTGACTTTACATCACCACTAGCTCTTAGAACAGAGAACAATTGAGGCTCTTCTTTGCTCTGCGAGCTGCAGTGAATTGCTCCATTAGCTCAGCTGATAAAGCTTGGGGGGGGGGGAAGAAACGTAAATGCATGACTGCTTTGTTTTAGCGTTCAACTTTGTGCATTTGAGTCTAGACAAAAGAAGATGGCTCGAGTCGCGTCAACACTTTGTGATATTTAAAAAGGACAAGAGAGGGAAGGGAAGCGTTTCGTTTTAACAGGCCCACCGGGAATAAGGGGAAGAAGCATTATATGTGATCCAGCCCAAAATCAAGCACTTTTTAAAACCCGGAATGACTTCCGTAGGGGAGATATAAGCACGAGCTTCTTGGAAACCTTTCAAACTTCTTTGGAAAGCAACTCAGCAATAGAACAAGCTGCCAGAACAGATTCTAAAGCTGTCTTCCTTTGAAGGTTTTGAAGAGAACCGGACCTACCATGGGGCAAAATGATGGTGTGTGTGTGTGTGTTTCTCTCTTTATTTGTGTAGCAGTGTGGCCAAGAGGCTTGCTTCGTACTTCCTAAACTAGGCTGCTGCTTTCAGGTGCAGTGGAGCCTCTTGACCCATCACTGCCATTCCAGTACTGTTCTGTATGTGGAATAGGATAGAGGGGCATTATTGTCTCTATTGCTTCAGGCAGCAAAATGTCTTGGGCCGGCCCTGTTTTCCATAGATAGATACTTATTTATTTATTATATAAGACCAGTGGCTAGAGTGCTTTGACTACCTATGAAGCTTGTTATGGGGATAAAAAGAATTAGGGGCAAACCATGCATGCCACCTTGAGGTGGGGGTGATAATGTCTTGATTTGTTCATTTATTCATTATTATAAAACACTCTATGCTACCCCCGATCAATATTCCAGGGCAGTGTGTACATCAGTGCAGATAACACATTATTCAAAGCCTAACACAACACAACACAAACATCCACAGCCATAATTCTCAGATGATGTTGGACGCCTGCTCCCATCTGCCATGGCCAGCATGGCCAAAGGTTAGGGAAGCTGTAGTCCAGCAATGTTTGGGGACCCACAAGTACCCTATTCCCAGGCTAAAGCTTTAGTGGACACAGCATTGGCCAGGAGGCCTGCTGAAATAATGCAGGAGTTCCCACTTTTTTCCTGGTGCACAGGTCCTGGTGTTTGTGGAGGAGGTAATGTGGTCACAGAGACATTTCATTCTCCCTTGTTGAACTTGGGAATGCAAGCACAAAACGAACCACAGAAGTCTGCCCAGTGTCAACAAGGAAAAACAAGCGAGTCTTTTGGCACCTGAAAGACTAATACATTTATTATGGCAGAAGCGTTCACGGGCGAGAGTCCTCTTCATCAGTTGCTTTAAGTGTTTTCCCGAGTCGCAGCTATAAATACCAGAAGATTAGGGGGAAATGGAATACAGGGAGTACGAACAACGGCATTCTTAAGAGTGACCATTTGCATAGAAAGAACATGCTGGCATTGAATACACAAACACCCTGACATTGATAATGAACATGTGTCATGGGAGATATACACACGCCAATTCAAACCACTCAACCTGAGTGAACCTCCCGATCAGTTGTAATTCAGCAGTTTCACAATGAAGTCTCCCTTTGAACTTCCTTTGTTCAAGTATAGGCACCTCAAGAAGAGTGGCAATTTGCCAAGAGGTTGAGTTCTACCACCTGTGGCTTGAATACAGGGTGGGGATGGTGGTTTTGATCGCATGTGTTAATTCACTTACCAATGCCAGGATGTTTGTGTTGTCATCTACACTCTTCTTGAATGGTCCCTGTGAAATTGTTACTGTCAATACCTTCCATATTCTGTTTTCCTCCAACCTTTTAAAATCCACTATTTCTCAGCCACATTCAGGAAAAAATATCCAGTGAATCTGATGATGTGGTTTGCAAAAAGCTTCTGCCACAGTATGTTTGCTAGTCTTTCAAGGTGCTCAAAGCTTCTTTGTTGTTTTTGCGGCAACAGGAGAACAAGGTCACCACTCTGGGATTAGTCACAGAATCACAGAATTGTAAGCTGGAAGGGACCTCCCTGTTAGAATTCCTGCTCCTTGATTGCAGTCATGGGATTTTTGTCTATCACATGACAGTATATGTTTTGACTCCACAGAGTGGGAAGTGACGGAGACAGGATGTTTGTGTTACTGTGTTCCGTGAAGTGGGACTATTGTCCTTTGTTCTTTCTCTTTGCTGTCTGATGCTAGAGAGAGATGGAGCCATGTTGCAGTGCTCCGTGTGTGTTTATATGTAAATAAAGTAGATTAGCCAAAATGCTGAGTTGCTGAGGTCTGTCATGCATACTGTGAACACTCTGCGGATCCCTAAGTGTGCCGATGTCTGTTGGCATCGGTCGCTGTGATGTTTGGGCTGAAGAAAGCTTTTGAAGCTCCCGAACGATCAACCAGGAAGGAGAGAACATGGCAGTCAGGCATGTGTCTCTGCCAGGGTCCTACTCGAGTGTAGGATGAGCTCCTGACACTCCCATGGTCATCTAGTCCAACTCCCTGTACTGCAGGAATCCTGCCCACAGCCGTCTCTGGGTGGGCTTGAACCACTAGCTTTCTGCTTAACAGCCAGACACACTGACCCATTGTGCCACCAAAGGGCAAATAGCAGAGTTGGAAAGCGGTCATCTAGTCCAACCCCCTGCAGTGCAGAAATCTCTCACCCAACGTGGAGCTTGAACCCATGATCCTGGGATTAAGAATCTCATGCTCTACCAACTGAGTTATCCAGCCTTTGAGGGACAGTAATAAAAGAGCATACTCTTGACAACAGCCAATTCCCATCTTAGGAGTGATCCCGATCTCTTAAAACCAGTGGAAGCCACAGGCACATTACACTCAACTACCAGAGTATCATAGGTCTGTGAAATGATGACAGCCACCTTTTAAATAATAGTAATGTTTAACATTTGCACAGCACTTTCATATGTTCAAAGAACTTCCCATTATCTCGGCAAACCTTATAGCAATTCTGTAATGTAAAGCAAGCTATTATCACCCACCGCTTTGCATTTGGTTGTGAGCTGAGACAGAAGTCGTGCACACACCACACATTTAAAGTGCACCCCCAAGAATCCTCAGAACTGTCGAACAAACTGTGGGGTTTTTTAAGGGGTGCTGGGAATTGTAGCTCTGTGATGGGTAAACCACAGTTCCCAAGATACAGGGACGGGTGGGAAGAATGTGCTTAAAATGTTTGGTGCATCTGCAGCCTGTGTCTTATAGTTTGCCTAAGGCCACTTAGAATATTCATGGTGAGGATTTGCCCCAGGGACTTCCTATCTCATAAGTCATTCCAGCCACCACAGCTCACTAGTGATGCTGATGAAGTTTGCAAATTAGAGGACTGGAGAGAATACAACTTTTCACAGCTCATAAAACTGGCCCTTGTTATGAGTCAGGCACCCTAACTCTGAAACTCTGACTTTGTTTCGGATTGCTAATGAGACGTATTTCAAGCTGACGTCAAACCTTTGCAACTGCAGAGTCAGCATTAATAAGTAGACTAAGCTGGCAAGGCTGATAGTGGCAGCTTGACCTAGACAGGCATTTTAGTCCAGATTCCCATTTCAACTTCTGTTGCAAAACTCCCACAGTTCCCATTTCTATCAGAAATGCATTTACCAACATCAGGCAGTGGTTCTCAACCTGTGGGTCCCCAGATGTTGTTGGACTACAACTCCCATCATCCCTGAGCTCTGGCCTTGCTAGCTAGGGGTGATGGGAGTTGTAGTTCAACAACATCTGGGACCCACAGGTTGAGAAAGGCTGGTAGAGCATGGGTAGGCAAACTAAGGCCCGGGGGCCAGATCCGGCCCAATCGCCTTCTCAATCCAGCCCGCGAATGGTCTGGGAATCAGCATGTTTTTACATGAGTAGAATGTGTGCTTTTATTTAAAATGCATCTCTGGGTTATTTGTGGGGCATAGGAATTCATTCTTGTTTGTTTGTTTTCAAAATATAATCCGGCTCCCCACGAGGTCTGAGGGACAGTGGACCGGCCCCCTGCTGAAAAAGGTTACTGACCCCTGGCTTAGAGGATCCACACTGCTGGAACAGGTACCTGCTGCAGTTAGATCCTGTCTGACAAACAAGTACAGTGGTGCCCCGCAAGACGAATGCCTCGCAAGACGGAAAACCCGCTAGACGAAAGGGTTTTCTGTTTCTGAGTTGCTTCGCAGGAGGAATTTCCCTATGGGCTTGCTTCGCAAGACGAAAATGTCTTGCGAGTCTAGAGATTTTTTTTTCGCTTTCCCCCCCCTTTATCTAATCTGCTAAACCTTTAATAGCCTTTAATAGCCTTTTAGCAGCTAATCCGCTAAGCCGATAAACCTTTAATAGCCGCTAAACCACTAATAGCGCTAATCCGTTAAGCCGCTAATAGGGTTGCTTCGCAAGACGAAAAAACCGCTAGACGAAGACTCTCGCGGAACGGATTAATTTCGTCTTGCGAGGCACCACTGTAATGTGGACCCTTGACTGGTTAATTCAACCATGGAATCCTCCATTAGATTTTTAACCCTCGCAGACTAACTCGCAACACTACGTTTCAGTGATGCGGGGGGGGGGGTTGGACCAACCCTGATAGGTAAGTATATGTGTGGGAACAGAGCATCATTTTGCAGTTGCTCATTATTTCAGAAATCCCATGGTGTCCTCTTGTTTTTGTGTATAAATCTTTTCTAGTCTATGGATTATTGAAGCAAGGAAAACCAGAACTGCCCCTCTCATAGTATATCAATGTGGGGGGGGGGGATGTGTTGTTGTTGTCTTAAAGGCATGCAACAGTTTTATTTATAATTTCCATGATTATCATTTCAGATTTTGAACATTAATGGGCAGGGTCTTGCCATATTTCAAACAGTGAAAATCCAAACAGAAAAGTTGTTGAACTTCTTTTGGCAAAGTTGTTGTTGAAGAAGAAGTTTTTGAGCGCTTTTTAAGGGAAATCGCCAAAACCGACACGGCTGACATAGGTTGCCATGCGACTGGATTTTCTCGGACATTTTCTACCCGCACACTGCTTCCAACTGCAGTATTCTGGATATATCTGGGAAATTCTAGATGTATGGCAACTCTAATGGTAACAATGAAATCATTTTAATCGTCGTGCAAACATCAACCAATATCTAACCTTCCTTCCTTGCTTGCTTCCTAGAATTCAGTTTCTCAGATTTAATTAAGGAAGGTTTCTGACACATTTTTGCACAAAATAAGTTGTAAATCTGTGTTGTTAAGAACTTTGGAGTGGAGTGTTCTGTAGCTGAAACGCTGGCAGCCTTTATCTATTGCCAAGGACGTCAATGACGCATCTATAAGAGAGAATCTCATTAAACTCTCGAAAAGATTTCTCCCCAATTCATATTTGATTATGTCGTGATGCACAAGTCATTCCTCAGGCCATCGATTTAGGAAAAAATAATCACTGTCTGCCAGCAAACTGTCTGCAACCAAAGAACAAATCCCACAAGGGTTTGATGGGAGCGTGGCTCATTTCAGGTGTATTCTAATGAACACCTATGAGGGTCAGCTTTTGCATTTTGTGGATTTCTCTGAAATGATGCCCTTATCTGAGGGTGAGAAATAATTTTCTACAGACGAAACTAACTTTTGATGACCCTGAAGTAAGAATTAAAGGAGCCCACTCAGTCAGTCAGGTGAGGGAACCACAAAGCAACAGTGTGATGACCAGTGTAAACCACCCTGAAACCTGCAGATATAATAATAATAATAATAATAATAATAATAATAATAGCTTTTTCTTTTGTGAAATTTTTGCCCTTCCTTTCCTTTTTCTGTGGTGTATGTGATTCCCCTTCTCCACATTCTTATTCTCAAAACAACCCTGAGAGGTTGGCTCAGCTTTATGGCTGAGTGGAGATTTGAACCCTGGTCTCCCAGGTTGCAGACTAGCACCCTAAACCTGTCTCAGTGTTGACTCGGTTTGCTAAAGTTTGGCCAGCTGAAGTCATAAATTGTCTTCAGTAAACAGAGACTTCCCATAGTCTGGCCCTGACCACAGTATCATGCAACGGAGACAAGAAATGAGTGAGAATATCAACATCAGGCAAAGATAATATGGCAGCATTAAAACACTGGCATTAATAATAATACTCAACAAAGGCCACTACAGAATCATCCTCTGAGGTCCTTTTTCATGTGCCTCCTCCACGAGAGGTCCGAAGGGTGGCAACATGAGAACGGGCTTTTTCTGAGGTGGTTCCCTGTTTGTGGAACACTCCTCCCAAGGAGATTCAGCTGGCGCCTTCATTATACAGTGGTACCTCAGGTTAAGTACTTAATTCGTTCCAGAGTTCCATTCTTAACCTGAAACTATTCTTAACCTGAAGCACCACTTTAGCTAATGGGGCTTCCCGCTGCCGCTGGAGCACGTTTTCTGTTCTCATCCTGAAGCAAAGTTCTTAATCCGAGGTACTATTTCTGGGTTAGCGGAGTCTGTAACCTGAAGCGTCTGTAACCCGAGGTACCACTGTACATCTTTAAGTGCCAGGCGAAAACATCTAATGCCCTTTTAAAATGAATTGTGGCATGGGGGACTATTGGGTTGTATTTGTTTTTATTTTTGTTTTGTGTTTTTTATATTGTGATTTTATGTTGCAAACCTCCTTGAGATATACATTTATAGGGTGGTATACAAATTTAATAAATCAAATCATCATCATCATCATCATCATCATCATCACCACTTGTTCAGAGCACTTCACACACGCTATCCTCCTTACTGCCAGAGCCTAAACGTGAAGCAAGGTGAGGCGACTGCCTCAGGCGGCAGGATCCAAGGAAGCAGCAGATCCAGCCGCCAAGGAGTATGCCTCAGTTGTTCCTGCCACTGAAGCAGCAGCAGAGGGCTATGCATTTCTTGGAAGCCTGATCTGCTGCCCCTGTGGATCCTGGCCCCCTGCTTCACTTTACAGCAGCTTCTTGGCAAATAAGAGGCATTGCTGGTCTCCTTCCACCTTCGTTCCCAGTGTAGGTCTTTATTCCCCACCTGGTTCCCGATGTTGACCTTCACCCACTCCTTGTTCCCTGGCCATTTTGTGGCTCGCCTCAGGTGCCAAAATCTCTTGGGCAGGCTCTGCTTACTACACCCTTGTAAAGTAAATCAAGAGTATTGCCTCTTGTTTTATAGATGGGGTACTGAGACAGACACACAGAGAGAGAGAGAAAGAGAGAGAGAGAGAGAGAGAGAGAGAGAGAGAGAGAGAGAGGAGAGGACTTACCTAAGGCAAGTTTATAGCAGAGGGGAGATTTTAACTGAGGACTTCCTACTTTTATAGCTAAATCCCTTAGCTGCACACAAACACCGGCAGCTGACTTGAAGATGACTGAGCTCTGATGTGTTTATGGATCATGTTCCATTACAGCAGCAAGTGAAACAGAGAGAGAGAGAGAGAGAGAGAGAGAGAGAGAGATGGAGGGAGGGAGGAAGAAACAAACACTGTCAACCTGAGGCAACAGAGGCAGAGGTGGCAAGTGCAGCAATGACTGACAAAGTCTAGCAGTGGCAGTGAGTGAAATGCATAGACTTTGTGGTTTCCTGTCAGCTCCCTTTCCCATGGAATTCTGGCTTGCTTTCTGACATAGCTGGTGTTCCCTGGCATGGCCCCCGTTTAATAAAGCTCTCTGCCAAAACTTGAGAAATCCCTCTGGGATTCCCTCGTGCATTGTATGTCAGCCGTGTCTTCCTGTGGTGACGGCTTCTCATTTTCTCAGGCTGTAGACATTAACAACCAAAAGCCCAGTCTTTTTATTACGTCCCCTTAAGCAGGGTTGGGGAACCTTTGACCTTCCAGACGTTGCTAGACTCCGGCTCCCATCATCCCTGACCACTGACCACACTGGCAGGGGCTGATGGGAGTTGTAGTCCAATGAGTTCCTCCAGTATAGCAGTGATGGAGCTTTGCCAAGTACTATTGTAGGAAATTCCACTATATCTCAAGTAACAAGATTCATTTTATTTTTTACACGAGCTCCACATCTCCTATATACTATATGACACCCACTTTCGATATTTCACCTACTTCATGTTTGGTGACATTTTGGCACCCCGGGCCAAATCTAGCATTTCTTTTTGTTCTGATAACTAATTCCTAAACTGAGAATGAAAGAAAATAAAGTAGATCTTATTGCCATTACGCTTCCTGCTCATAACATGCTTTGCGGTTTGCAACACAGTGTCTTAAATAACTATTGCACTTGCGTGTTTGTATATTTTTATGCTTTTGGACAGATCATTCTGGTACAAAATGTAGTTATGGAAATTGGGGTCAGTAAACGCATGCAGATGTTTCTGGGAAAGGGAAGGAGGGTGAAGGCAACAGTTTTTCACTCGCACTCTCACGCACACATGCACAAACACACGCTGCAGATGACAAATAGAGATGAGTATATTTTTCCTTCTGTCTTCACTTCACTGATTTCACAGGACAGAGATGTGGATCCCAGGCTTGAGAGACGTTCTTTTTGAAAGCCTGTATCTGTCCATTCATAGACAAGAGATAACATCATCTGAAGGAGTTTTACTCAGATTTACGCTTGCTCACCTTACGCAACTTTCCCTACTTGTCTTATCAAACTGCTTTCTCTTGCATAAGATTATTAAAAGTTTGGCTTCAATCTTTAAGCAGGGTTGCCTAATCTGCTGGATCATCTGCATGCTGGACATGTAATTCTCATGAAGCAGATGAATACAAGGGAGATTTGCATTGCTAATGTTGGAGTGCAACTGTATGTATCGGCCTTCTCCAAGAAACAACAACACTGAAACTTCTCTGAGGCATATTTGCAGCGCACAAAATAGGTGCTTCCTCCGTGATGACCCTGGAATCCGGAACTGACATGGGGAACCTCCAAACTGTCACTATTTTGTGGGAGGGATTCCTGTGCACACCAGAAATTCAGGCCCGCACAATTGAATTGAATTAAAACACTTTGTCAACCTATCGTAGGGGTGGGGAACCGTTTTGGGCAGGTCTTTATCTCCCCTCACCCATGGGCCAACTCTGACAAGTGGGCAGACCAAAGCGCTCGTCAATTATCTGACATCACAGTGACATCAGGTGACTGATTGGCGGGCAGCCCCGTCCTCCAGCCAAAGTGGGCTTGTGAGGGTGTGGGGGAGGGGTCAGTTTCAACACTGCATTTCCCACAGGGAGCTTGCTGGCAAAGCAGTACCCCCAGGAACAAACCTTCTCCACACCAGCTTTGAGTCTCATCATCCCACGGAGGTTAGAACTGAAACTTGAGCAAACAAGAGTCTTCCCCCTCTGAAGCAATCCTTAGGCCTTGGAATAAAATTCCTGAAAAATGTTCCTCATAAATCAGTTTTCGAATGAAATGTGATCCCTATCGTGCAGGTGTGAATGACACCGAAGTGAAGTGAGGGACACTGAAGTAAAGAATCAACAACCATTACTGTTGTCGTCATTATTATGGATTCTAAAAGTGAGAAGTGATGCTCTTGGGATGTGTTAAGAACATACAGTGGTACCTCGGGTTTTGGAACATCTCCATTGACAAACATTTTGGTTTTCAAACGCCGTAAACCCGGAAGTAAATGCTTCGGTTTTCAAACATGCCTCAGAAGTCGAGCCAGAAACATGGCTTCTGTACTCAGTTTTCCATATTGAGTTTTCTGTTTTGAGGCTTCCGTACTGAGTTTTCAGTTTTTGAATGTTTAGGAACTCAAACGGTCTTCCAGAACGGATTACGTTCGAAAACCGAGGTACCACTGTATAAGATTAGCTCTGGCTGACTAGGCCAGTGGCTTATCTAGTCCAGCATTCTGTTCACACGGTGGCCAACCAGATAAGATCTTCTCCCTTTCAATTTCTAACTGCAATTTTTTATTGACCTGTTTTGACAATGGTGTTTTAAATAGTTTTGTAAGCTGCAACAAACGCTAGGGGAAGTAGGGCACAACTATTTCCAGTGAATTTAAAGCTCTTAAGTTTCCTAAAAGTGCAGTCTTGAGAGCCACAGGAAGCTACACTACAGGGACTTCACAAGTTTTCTCAGCATGGCTAGAGAGACCAGATCTGTTGTCCGTTTTTTCACTAAGCAACTTTTCTATTAGGTATTTAGGAACACTCCAACACTTTTGTCGGCAAAAGTGGACAATGCATTCTTCTAACTCTGCTCCTGAAGCATGAAAGATTCCTTTCTGTTCCTTTTCACCTCACAAAATAAATATGGAGTAACTAGCCTAAGACATTCTACCTGGAATGCTGCAGCAGAGATTTTCTGCAGTTTTCAAGGAGAGTTTCTCCAAAGTTTAAAAATCACAAAACAGGCAGACAGAGAGTGTGTCTTCATGACTTAACGTTGCCATAGCAACACTATAATAGTGCCTTATTATACAAAGATGCCTAAATGTGCTTGAGAAAAGTTATACAATAATTAAATATAATGTAGTCTTTGGTGCCAAGACTCGAAAAATGAAAATCCAAGCAAAATGAGATGTCGGCATTCAACACAACCCTTTAGCATAGTTGCCCCCCCCAATAGTTTGCTTTGATCTGCCATGAAATTATGTAATATACGGAAGAAAATTTTCCTGATTTCAGAGAAAGATGCTATTGTCTACAGCCTCTCAAGCCTTGATTTTATTTTGAATGAAGTATTCTATATAAGTAGACTTCCCTTATTATACATGATAGAATACTCAATCTTTTGTTGGTTGGTAGCTCAATGTTTGTGAAATAAAATTTAATTTAAAAGGATGCCTGTGTTATCTTTATCGTCAGCTCTGTGTCTTTTATTACTATTTTTTTAAGTCCTCAAAGATACTCTGATGCAACACGAGCTATAACAAAATGATTTTAAAACAGTGTTCATGGAGAGCTTGGTTGTTGTTGTTTGCTCTTGGTTTTTTATTAATTTTTGTGTGTGTTACAAAACATCTAAACAAGGAAAAGCGCATCTATCACCTCCCCTAAGCAAAATATTACAATTTGATTTAGCTATTCAGGAGTGGGATCCCAAAACTGGTCGGAGACCTTGAGTTATGAATGGATGAATCTGCCAATTTTGGTTTCTCTTAATCTCTCTCTCTTTCTCTCTCTCAGTTTTAACTTCAGTTTTCCACAGTTCTACATCAGTCTGTGAATTGCTATTGTTTTAAGTCGTCATGCAACTCACCAGCAGTATAGAGCACATTTCTCCTAATGAACACAATTTTGCAGGGAGGTTTCCCTAACATAACACATTCTTGTATGTTATTTTCACTGCTATATACATTTTACCCTAGTGTACACATTTTTGTAGCTGTTACTTGGCTGCCAAACTGCATTGCAAAATTCAGAGAAGGGTAAATTTGAAAGGATGAATGGCTGTACTTTGAATTGTATTGCATGTCGTTTTGGAGTTTGAAACTAAGGATGAGGGAGAAATATGATTTTGTTTGCATCTTAATGAGAAACTATCCAGTTCACATTTCTCAAACCAAAGCACAATTATCCTTCAAATTCCTCCGTTCTCCAAACATTGTGATGCTCCTCTCCAACCAATTTTTACAAAAATGCATCTATTAAGGGGAAGTATGTACAAAAATGCATGAAAATACTGTGAAATAAATATATTATATATACTAGGGGAAACTGCTTGCAAAAGTGTATATATTAGTCAAAACTGATAATGTTGCTTTTAAGTTAGCTGCTGAGTGCTTTGGGAGTTTATGCTTTCAATGTGTAATGTTTTACATATGTTGGAAGCTGCCCAGAAAAGCTGGGGCAACTTCGTCAGATAGGCAGGGTACAAATAATATTTTTATTTTTATTAAAACTGCATACATATGTTGAGAGAATTTTGCACTACCATGGTGATGAATTTTCAGTAAGACTTCCATTTAAAATGGTTATAAGCACTGGATAGCTCAGGTGGCTAGAGCATGGTGCTGATAACGCCAAGGCCGCAGGTTCAATTCCCATATGGGACATCTGCATATTCCTGCATTGCAGGGGGTTGGACTAGATGACCCTCAGGGTCCCTTCCATCTCTTCAATTCAATGATTCAATACAAATTGGTGCAGCAATGCGGATGACAGAATTTAAGGTTGGAAAAAGGAAAAACGGTGCAAAACCAAAACTGACAGGTTCGTACATTACCATCTGAAACCCTTCAAAGGGTATTCAGAACTCGTAACGAGAGGCAGAAGAGGAACAATATATAGCAAAAAAAAATTAAAAATCCTGGGAGTTTCTGTTTTCTTCCAATTTGTTCTCACATGCTCTCCTTCCCACCACACAGCAAATGAAATGCTCCTGTAGCATCTGATTCCAGTTTAGATAAGATTCCTGTGGCCCCAGGAATTATTTCCCTGTTATCCTTCACCATCTGTTTCTCTTCATTCTCTTTCTATAATCTTTGTAGCAGCCATTTCAATTAATTCTGGCACGTTTCCATCCTTGATACAAGTTGCGCTGTGAATTTCTTGTGTGGCATAGTGTCCTTTACTGTTTATTTTTAATTTTCCTGTTTGTTTATCTGGTTAACCGTCTTTGCCGGGCAATTTGTGGTTAGATGCATTTTGGTTGTTAGGGGGCGTTCCAACACAGTTAATTCGTGAAATAGATTAGAGCAGTGGTTTCCAACATTTTCAGAACCAAGACTCCATTTCCACCCCAATCTACGACATGGGATCCACTTTATGTCCTTTTTTCTTTTCCTCTTCCTCTTCATCTCTCTCATTGCTGCCCCAATCTTTCCATTTCCCCCCTCTCTTTCACCTTATCTTAAAAAAAAAATTGTTTAGAAAAGGCGAATAAAACTATGGTTCTCTTTAGTGTGTCTCACTTTAGATGGGTCTTTGGCTCAATTTTGGGTTCTGATCTACCAGTTGAAGATCAGTGGATTTGATGTCTCAGCCTACTCAGAAACCTGGATGGCAAGGGATGGGGAAGCACCCTAAAGAAATACTCTTAATTTTAGGATGAGGAATGTAACCAGTCTCTGGCAGGTCACAAACCATGAAATCAAACCGGCATTGTGAGGACAATCTTCCAGCACTGTGGACAGCTACGATGCCTAGAGAAGGCCAGGAATGGTCTTGAGAATTGAGAACTTGATGCTTGGAGACACTTGGGATCTCCTTCAAAAGCCACACCCTCACCAGTCCTGCTTTGCACCCGCCTTGGGTGATATTGGCTGGAATGAGTCCTTGAACTCTGGCAATGTTTCGTGCTTTCCTGGATACAAGATAGAGACAGGCGTGTGAAGCTGAAGAACCTACCCTAGGGTACAAGCACAAAGTTCACATCCATAGCTCTGCCCACCACAGGTTTCCCAGAAGATATGGTGGCCCTCAGGATGAATGCTCGATAAACAGGCTTGCAGTGAAATGCAGAGAATTTTAACTTTCTGGCATTCAGAAGCAGAAGAGAAAAGGCTCCCAGGTTTAGTCTTCTCCCCACTGTTGAAATAAGTTTTGTTACGAAGCTGTGATTTCTCTTGACTGCAGGCTGTAAAAGAGGAACTTGCTACCTCTATTATCTAAGACATCACCTTCCTGTTTTAATCACATTCATTTCCTACTCAGTTACATTTAGGCCGCAACCTACCTGGGAGTAACTCCCGGTGAACTCAGTGGAACTTGCTTCCACGTCTATACGTTTGCAGGATTGCACCCATAGAGCAGTCAATAAGCAATCTTTTGTCGGTGGGCTGTTTTTGCACTGAGGATTGCCTCTAAAATTTATTTCTGTGTGCTGAAATCACCCTGAAAGGAAGACTCCCGTGCTGTGATAGAGTTACAAAAGCTATTTTCAGTTCAACTGGCTCTCTTCTTTGTCTATTCCAGGCAACCCTCCAATGAACGATTCTCCTAATGACAGTGCAATGCATTCTTAGGCTGTGGCTAAACAGCTTCCACTCTGCATCTTGCATGTATTCCTCCCACACACACACTGGCGTAGGTGATCCCCATCCTGTAACATAATTAACTCCTAATTCAAGCTCAAATACGGTGACTTCAGCATTCTCTGCTTAGTCTGCAGGAGATGCACAGCTGTGTCCTCAGAGTGATTGTGGCCAAGGGACGAATGTGGCAAATGTTATTTATACCAGAGGGACACCATGCTAATGGGGATGCTGCGGTGGAGAAAGCAAGATAGCTGACGGACTATGTTGCTCACAGAACAAGGTGCTGGCATTTTGGATAAACACAACTGTCACCGTCAAAGGATAGGAAGCAGCGAGCTAAGTAACTGCTCTTTTGTCCGTTATAGTCAGCTATTGCTGTGGCTTCTGACTCTAAGGCTGCAGTCTTAATCTCACTTAGCTGGGAGTAAGCCCCATCAAATTCAATAGGATTTACTGCTAAGCAGACACGGTTAGGATTGCACTATTGAGTGATCTTTCTTTTCTTTTAAAAAAATAATTCATTTCGAGTTTTTAGGTTACATATACAAGCACCGGTAAGAGTTCTCATCCTTTCTGCTTCTGTAAGAACTCGATTGTTAAGCAGCCAAACTTTGGAACTCCTCCCAATTGTCATCAATTGACACCTTCACTGTACAGTGGTTCTTCAGGTTAAGAACTTAATTCGTTCTGGAGGTCCGTTCTTAACCTGAAACTGTTCTTAACCTGAGCTACCACTTTAGCTAATGGGGCCTCCCGCTGCCACCACGCGATTTCTGTTCTCATCCTGAATCAAAGTTCTTTACCCGAGGTACTATTTCTGGGTTAGTGGAGTCTGTAACCTGAAGCGTCTGTAACCTGAAGAGTCTGTAACCCGAGGTACCACTGTATTGTTTTCGGTGCCTGCTAAAAACATTCCTGTTTAGGCAAGCCTACCCAGATGCTAAACAACGCTCATGTGAATTTCAATCTGTTTTAGTGTTTTAACTTTTTGTATGTTTTAAACTAAGTATTGTAACTTGTTATTGATTTTATTGTTTTATCTTTTTTGTAAACCGTTTTGAGATTTCCTTTTAACGTTCAAGCAGTGCATAATTTTCATGAAATAAATCTCTCTCTGTGGGTTGTATACAGGAACAATATTGCATCCCGCCCACCCCTGTCATTCCTTCAGAAATATAAACCTGGCTGAAGGTACATGGAAGTAATTGGCACTGATAATATTAGAACATGGCACTTTCACATAAAATGCTTAGAGCATCTATTGAAGTGCTGCCTGAATGTTCCACATTCCCTTGCTAATCTGTTTGTTTGCTTGTTGTGTCATTTAATTTATAAACGACTTCACAGGAAACATCCTGAAATTATTTAACAGTAGAAACAATGTCACACCAAAAGGGTTGTTTTCATACTCTTACTTACGGTTCCTCCACCATTTTTTTTTAAGCATTGGAGTGATCATGCCCTGCAGTGGAGTCTGGTATATTCGGTTATCCGGGTTTATCATCCTGATGAGAACCTGGCTATAAAATGCATGCATTTACAGGAGAATAGGAAATACATTTGCCCATAAAGCCCAGTTCATATCTTCTTTCCATGCACCATGCTATGGTATATTTGCAAATAAAGTGGAGGTGCATCATATTACATCAAATGTCAATAAAGGTCATTTTTGCACAATAGGCTCAAACTGGACAATTTTTTTTAAAGAAACTAAATCAGCCCATCTTAGCTGCTAATGACAAGATTCTAAACTCTCGAGAAAATGGGTCTGCTTAATGCATTATACCTTCATAGCACACCCAAAACATATGTGCCCCAATATTACCCAAGTTCTCTCCCACACAAGAATGACATTCGTACACAACCACCAAAATAGGAGTCTCAAATGCACTTCTTAGTGTTAAACATGAAAATGCCTCTGGTGAGAGATATGTGCATAGAATCCAATGCATATCGGCCCAATAACACTCAGAGTCAACCTCTCCACCCCAATTTTACCAAACAATGGTTGCTGGGCCTCAGTGCGTTAGACACTATACATAGATAAATCTAACCAAAACATCCACCAACACATTGACAGGTGCTACTTCACAGAGAACCTCATCTGGTGTGGTTTGTTCAACATCCCCACAATTATTTGGCTATGGGGCCCAATATATTTCTGTAATGAGCAGCTAAGTGTCCTGGAAACAGGCATACATCCTAAAGGAAGAAAATGTATTTGTATTACCTGATAGTAGATTGTAATTCGTTATGCAGTAGGAAGTACTGAAATTAATTATACCACACAGTTAGTTTCAAATGGTAATTATAAGCTACATGCCTCTATATTACGGAGCATGCATGAAGTTTCTTTTAAAAGCAAGGTGCATCAAAGCAAAGAAATGCCAAGAAATGTATCTCTTGACAAACCTATTTTTCAAAAGAACCCTTGCTTAGAAAAAGGTGTGGATTTTTTTAAAATTGAGCTGGTTCTGTATCCATTAAACTCCAGCAAAGCTATTTCCAGAATAGGAGGAAGATTCCTAAGAGACACTAGAATAGCATCAGAATTTCTGATAATTTAGTGGTAGAACGTGCTGCAGCTGAGGCAATATTTATAAATCCCAAAAATATATTAAACTCCAGTGTATGTGAAGTGGTCTTCCTTCCTTCCTTCCTTCCTTCCTTCCTTCCTTCCTTCATTCATTTCTGATTGCATTTTACAGTTTACATTTGTATTTTAATACCCAAAGGACTGGGGACTTCAAAAAAGCAACTCTTCTACGCCCACCATTTTGTTTAATTCTTGGATATGGAGCAGAAGTGTGAACAAAACTAATCTGACTTCATTAAATAGTATAGCAGATAGATGTATAATATATTTTGGAGGCACTGACATCAGTGTATTGGGATTTAAACAGAAGATGTAATGTACTTGCATATTTGGAATGTATTCTAGGGAACTGATTAAGCCAGGGTATTAAATATCTCGCAAATCCCACAACCAGACCTAGCCATATAAAACAGAGCAATTTCACTCATACAGAGGGCCAAAAAGTCCTTGAAAATATCTAGACAACTGCAGGTTTGGAGAA